TGCAGGTAAAAAAGTGAACGACAAGTTAAATTTATTAGTCAGTGACAATCATCTGTTTTCCCGGAAAATACTGTTTAATATAAATGATTTTTCTTCATACAGTTTTACCTGCTTTACTACCAATCTCCAGAAAGCCAAAAAATATTCAAATTTGTGAGAAAATTAGCTCTTACGAGCTCAATTTCTCAATTGGGTTCTTTAAGGGTATTGAGGTAAATGCATATTCGTAATCTGCATTAAAAATGGAACCCAATCCCAAAATTTCATCAATTTTGGCACACTGGAACCATTTTAAATAAGTACGATTACATTTGCAAAAATCACCTAATTAGCGCCCCTCGGTGTCACTTTGTATGGGAGCGAGCTGTCAGTTTGTCAGTTTAGTGTCAAACAATGAAGTTATTATTTTGCTTTAAATCGAGATGAAAGTGCGTTGGGTTGAAAAAAATATCGCTGTGCTCAGAAAACGAAGCTCTTTCAGATGATATATAAAAACAGATATATTTTTCAAAATTAAAGAACCCAATTGCCATGTTTTTTATGACACCCAATTTGTGATTTACTTTCATAGATTACAAAATAGAGTAGGGTAGAGAACTACATCGGTCTAATCGCCGATTTTGGGCCTATCGAGTAGAAAACTTCAAATAAAATAATCCATGATTGCAGAGTTAACAAGTCAATTAGGCGTTTGGTACGATACTTTAGTTAATAAGCTACCGAATAAAGTCAATGAAAACGCGTGATATGAAGGCTTGCACCCAAAATTCCCACAAACAAAAGAAGTTCTCCGACCGAATCAATTTTTTCTTTATCAGATAGGCCGAAGTGAATTCATTGGCGTTTCAATGCGTAAGGCCGAGTTTAGAATCCGTAGGCCGTGTTTGGCGTCAAGAAGCAGTGTTGGACTTATAACAATATCTAAACAATTTGTTTCTCTATATCAAATTTTACGGTACGTACATAAAGGTAAATAAATTTGGAAGCCATCAGTAATAATAACATTCCGTTTGGTGCTAAACTGCGCTAGATTAAGAAAGACTAAGTGCGGGTTGTGCTTAATAAGCCGGAAATGGGGTAGTGAACCCTATCTGACAGTACAAAACATGTCTGGTACCGCATTTAGATTAACATTCTAAGTTCCTCCTTTTTTACATATTCTGCTCAAACGCTACTTTCTGCCCCGCCCCATTCATACAATTTGGAAGGAAATCCTGAGAGGGGTGAGCTATTTGGAGTGCAGAATGTGTAAAGAAGGAGGGACTTCAGTTGTTAATCTAAATGCATATATAGAGGTACCAGACATGTTTTGCACTGCACTGTCCTCTGTGAACAGTTATTGGAAAACAAATTAAGTGAAGTTTCCGATCGATGCCACCGCCAACAACAGCAGTGACATCTGATGGAACATGAAAGCAGAAGCTTGACAAAATGATTAATCCGTTTTTCCCTCAGCTTTCATTCCGCTTTGCACGGTTCGTTTTTTACTCAATCAACCTTGTAGTGACGTCAAAATGTTTGTTTCGATCGGCGCTTACATAGGAAATTTAATATGGATTATAGAATTTTTTGTAGAGGAATTGGCTCTAATGTTGGCATAAGATTGGGCCCATCGCTAAAAATCTGCGATCAATGAACGCGTCATTGGGACGGTACTAATGGATATTTTTGGTTGCTTTTGAAAATTTAGTTGATTGCTGAATTTATGTATGAGCCAAAATTAGGGGCATAATGTGGAGGTAATTAATTAATTATTGAATTAGCACTCTATATACCATGAGAAAAGCAGCCTGTTTGTGAGTTTTTGCCTGTTTTCAAGTAAGGAGTTATCATAAAAAAAAACAATTCGCCAGCAATACAATCAAACAAAATCATCATACTTTGACTATATGTTTTAGTATTACTTCTACGTGAAGTCAACGATTTACATAGTTGAAGATGCTAATTTCAAATAACAGACTGTAGTGGTAATTTTTATACGATAGATGGAGTAGATGAAAGCATAGAGTTGATAGTTCCGTTAGAGTACGGCAGTGTGAAGATTGCATATAGATATTAGAATAGCGAGCTAGAACAACTTTTAAGGAAGGTACAAATCGGTTTTTTCATCTCTCTTTACCAAACTCCCCCTTTGGAGAGGGATGGTGAGGGGTGTCCCTCCCCCGCCACCACTGGCAAAAAGAGATGAAAACCGACCCGCTCAAGTACCAACTGTGTGTTTGAAACAGTTCTACCGATTTTTACCGCACTTCAGTTGTTATTTGAAGGAAGGCATCCAGTCGTAGGTTTGGAAATTGCAACTATTGTTTACCCCTACCACGATATGTGCTCCTGTCATCGTCGACTTGACGATCTCGAGGGGACACGGGTGGGGTAGGTGCTGCTACTGTACCTTTCGACCATTGACAGTAATTGATGGTATGCTCCCATCCAGAGTTATGTACTTTGACTATATGTTTTAGTATTACTTCTACGTGAAGTCAACGATTTACATAGTTGAAGATGCTAATTTCAAATAACAGACTGTAGTGGTAATTTTTATACGATAGATGGAGTAGATGAAAGTATAGAGTTGATAGTTCCGTTAGAGTACGGCAGTGTGAAGATTGCATATAGATATTAGAATAGCGAGCTAGGACAACTTTTAAGGAAGGTACAAATCGGTTTTTTCATCTCTCTTTACCAAACTCCCCCTTTGGAGAGGGATGGTGAGGGGTGTCCCCCCCCCCGTCACCACTGACAAAAAGAGACACCCCTCACCATCCCTCTCCAAAGGGGGAGTTTGGTAAAGAGAGATGAAAAAACCGATTTGTACCTTCCTTAAAAGTTGTTCTAGCTCGCTATTCTAATATCTATATGCAATCTTCACACTGCCGTACTCTAACGGAACTATCAATTCTATGCTTTCATCTACTCCATCTATCGTATAAAAATTACCACTACAGTCTGTTATTTGGAATTAGCATCTTCAACTATGTAAAATCATCATGCAGAAGGATTTGTTTCACTTCGTGGAGGCGAACCAGCCCAAGGCTGAAAGCCTCATTAATAAAGTTAAATAATAATAATGTTTCACTTCATAGTTCACAAAATTGCTTTCGAGTGTTATGACATCGTCTCCCGCAAAGGTTACATTTTGACATAGGATTACGTCTCTCGGCAACATATTGGGGATGCAATTAAAAAAAACAAAATCGACCATGTTACCAAAAGTGGACGGGTTTTGACCACTTATAACTCTGTCAATAGCGGATGGATTTTAATACTAAACAAGCCAATCGATTGGTAATTTTTCTTCAAAGCTGCTAAATTGAATACTTCATCAATTTTCAATAGGTCACTATTGAAAATTACACAACTGTTGAAATGGTTATCAAAATTATCATCGATTGCCTGCAAAAAGTGGTTTCCCTAACATAGTCGCCAAATATTGATACCGAGCACGTAATCCTACGTCAGATCTACGGTCGAGTCTTGGATACAACCTCTTACTTTTTCCTTTGGTTTGTTTTTTTCCGACTATCTTGTTTTCCGTGCTGAGCACCAATGCTACCGACGTGCCAGGAAGGCAGCTCCCACACCTGGACCCATCAACTCATGAACCGGGGACCAACGGCTTTACTTCCCATCCGAAGGAAGGCGTGATCAGAGATGTTATGCCTCAGAACATCCCGGCGGCGCCGACTGGGATTGAACCCAGGCCTGCTGGGGTGAGAGGTAATCACGCTTACCACTACACCACCGGCGCCGTTGCGATCAAGTTTATTCTGCACACATCCCTGGTTTGGAGCAGCGTCGAACCCACCAGCTCTTTTCAGAGCCCTCCACCACCCTGCCGATACAGTCCACTACCGAAAGGGAAAGTTCCCTCCCAGTCCGAACATAATTTGGTCCTTCGAGCCAGATCACGAGCCAAGAAGCTTTCGCCGTGAAAGTTTACGCATAGATGTTCCTGCCAACTGGAACGAAGCCGATTTCCCACCGAAAGAAACGGACGTGCTACGCTAGCCAAGTACCAAACAAACAAAACTACTTCCGCTGCTGGCCGATGACAGCATCGTGTGCGAAGTATACAAAAAAGTGAATCGTATGAGTGAGCGCGTTCGCGAAAAACAATATTCCGAAAAGTGAATCGCATGCGTGTGATAGTGTACTACGCGTTCCAAAGATGACCGATGTGGAAAGCTTGATCGTACTTCGTGGCTTAGTAGAGGTGAAGGTAACGCGAATCCTGAAGGAAGTGCAAGAAACCGATATCACCATGCATCCGGTGTTGTGCAACAGACACGCCAGGAACCTCCAGCGCTATTACCAGGAGTATCAATGGTTGCACAACAGAATTATGACCGCCATCTCTGCAGAGAGATTTGATGAGCAGGATGAGGACTACCTGCGTTTCGATGATCTCTACACCGAGGCCTGTATACTGGTGGAAACATTGCTGCTTGCCTTTCCAACTACCGATATCAGGCACCACCAACACCGAAAATCATCACCGGCCACAAACACACCATACGCTCGGATCGTCCAAAATCAACCAATGACTCGAATGACGGAACAGCCCGTTCCGATTCCACGCGTTATGGAACTGCCATGTACGTTATCAACGATAAAGTTGCCACCGCAGCGTATGTCGTACCCGATCCGAACCGTCGATGTGAAGACGATTGTGAGTCAATGCACCGAAACGAAGTCGACCAAGAAGCCAACTGAAGTGGATAATCCAACCGAACTCTTGAAGGCGAAACCCATGATTATGCCGTTGAACTCCCATTGTGGACCGACCGAGGTCCGGATAGTCGATGATTCCCCTCCACCTGCCAGGTAATCTTGTCGATACTGAAACCAAGCTGACAATTACGATTGAAGATGAGGTTCCAACCGAAGCTGACGATGTTAAGCTCAACTCTGCGTGCAAGCCAAATTATCTTCATCGGGGATTGACAGAGGACCGTTACGTCGAGAATTCAACCAAGTTCGTAGAAGTCAAGCCTAATAACATGGCAAGTGAACCAACCGAGTGCCATATCAATAAGGACTCACCTCAAGTCATGGATGTAAAACCGAAACCGTTTAAACCTCCCGAAACAACCGAAGTCAATCCGAAGCTATTCCAAGACGACTTTCAAGCCATCGAACCGAAGTCCGTCGCCGCTGGTGAAGTGCCGCAAACAATCCTAACCTCGACTGGAACCAGCCCGGTCTTGAATTGTATCCCCGCCGGAAACCATCCGGTGTTTATGCCTTACCCGATGTCTGCTGGAATCCTTCCAGTAATCAAGCCATTCCTGAGGGGCGCCAGAACCTATCCGGTGGTCCAACCATCCCCGATGTCTCCATTCTCGATGTCTGCCGAAACCAATTCGGTGGTCAAGCCATTCCAGATGTCCACCGCAATCCAGCCGGTGGCCAAGCCCTTCGTGATGTCTACCGGAATCCGTCCGGTGGTCAAGCCATTATCGATGTCCGCCGCAATCCAGCCGGTGGTCAAGCCATTCTCGATGTCCGCCGAAACCAATTCGGTGGTCAAGCCATTCTCGATGTCCGCCGAAACCAATTCGGTGGTGAAGCCATTCTCGACGTCCGCCGAAAACAATTCGGTGGTCAAGCCATTCCAGATGTCCGCCGCAATGCAGCCGGTGGCCAAGCCGTTCCTGATCTCCACCGGAATCCAGCCGTGATCAAGCCCTTCCTGATGTCCGCCGGAACCGATCCGGTGGTCAAACCGTTCTCAATGTCCACCGAAACCAATTCAGTGGCCAAGCCGTTCCTGATCTCTGCTGGAATCCAGCCTACGATCAAGCCTTTCCTGATGTCCACCGGTACCAATCCGGTGGTCAAACCGTTCTCGATGTCCACCGAAACCAATTCAGTGGCCAAGCCGTTCCTGATGTCCATCGGAACCAATCCGGTGGTCAAACCGTTCTTGATGTACACTGCAACCTGTCCGGTGGTCAAGCCATTAATGATGTTCACTGGAACCCTTCCGGTCACCAACCCGTTCTTGATGTCCACTGGAACCCGTCTGGTGGTCACGACCTTCAGGATGTCCACTGGAACTCGTCCGGTGTTCAAGCAGTTCCCGATGACCCTTGGAATTCATCAGGTAAACAAGCCGTTTCTGATGTCCCCTGGAAACCATCCGGTGAACAATCCGTTACCGATGTCAGCAGGAGACCATCCGGTGATGCATTTTCCGATGCCAGCTCGAAATCATCAGGTGTAAAAGCTGTTCCCGATGTCTGCCGGAACCCGGCCCGTGTTCAAGATGTTTCCAATGTCTACCCTGTCAGTATTCATGCGGTGTCAACCGAAAAGTATCCGGTGTTCAAGCGGTATCTGATGCCAACCGAAAACTGTCCGATGTTCAAGCCGGTCCCGATGTCAGCTGGAATTCACTCAAGGCCAATTCTGGAGCCAAGTGCACTCGTTCCGATACTGACGTCTGAGAAACAACAAATAAGAGATCCACCAGACAAGCCAAGCTCAGCTAATCCTGTACCGAAGATGCCCTATCCTGATTCCATTGATATCGTTCCAAAACCAAAGCCTGAGAAGCCACCGCCAGAGGATCTTTCCATTCTACATCGAGCCAGCAAGGTCAGACTGAGAACACTCGCGTCACTTTTCAAATAGACCAATGTAACACATGTAAACAAATCGAGTTAAGCGATACAAACTATTGCTCTTCTATCATTGTATGTGATACAAAAACATCCATCCAAATTTACTTTCATTTATTTAAGATAATCATTGATCAAAAATTGTCCAATGTACAGTTTGAAATGATGGGTACATTCGGTCATTCGGACTGCCTAACATGATTGGTGCTCATTTTCCAAAGGCGGGGCCAATCTAAAGTTAGGTACTATACTCTGCAATCTGTGAAAGGGAATCTAGTATCATGTAGACAAAACGTCCAATGTAACACTTATTGATTATGTCATTGAGAAAAATCGTCCAATGTAACATGTCCGATGTACAACTCGACTTGTCAAAACGTCCTATGTGGTTTTTTCTATATTGTAGCATGAAATTCAAAGTAAAATTGTGATTTACCGTTTCTTTTGAATTTTCAACGTTATTATATACACTGACTACATTAAAAATAGTATTGCAAAATGTATTGATTTTAAACAGTTAAAATAATAATCTGTCGAACTTCAACTTCGGTTTTCTCAAAATGGTGGATATGTTACATTGGTCTATTTGAAAAGTGACGCGAGAACACTACTTTGCGCCGATCACCTGCTAACCCGGTTAGTACTGAAGGTACTACCAGTCCTGGATATGGAGTTCCGAGAAATTGTGCTATGGTACGAAAGTACGATAGTGCTGGCCTGGATCAACAAACCGCTAAACCAACTACAGTCATTCGGAAGAAACCGAAACGCTGTGATCTAGAAACAAACCGATATCGTTTCTTGGTGGAGTGGTCCTGAGTTCCTCCAGAGAGAAAGGTACAACATCGAACTACCCGAAAATGTTCCAGACCAGATGCTACCTGCACTGAAAGCAGTTATCGTCAACCCAGATGACCCAGTCGACCTGAAGAAAAAGCAGCCTTTGAGCATCCCGCAACCACGCCAGGCAACCGAAACTATCACCCAAGTGGTTCAGTTTGTGCATTTGGCGGAAGACATTCAGCGAGTTGTTGCCCACGACCCTTGCAAGAAATTGGCAAACCTGCATCCGATCTACACTGATGGCCTGGAAGCGTTATACGATCTGAGCACCGATGCCTTCCTGGCATTCTTCAAGCGTTTCATTGGACAACGAGGAAGCAGCAGCAGCATTCGGATAATTGTACTATTTTCCAAAGTACCCAACCAGAAATTACCCTACTACACATGAAGAAGAACCTTCGAACCATGCCGATCATCCGTGAAACCCTGGATGTTCCACTACCATCAAAAAATCAGCCCCACTGGAAGTTGGGTCGCATCACAACCGTTGCAGGAAGTTCTAGATACCGCGCCCAATCAGCAATTCTAAACAATCGTTGTTAATCGTTGAGTTACCTCAACCGGGCGAGTATGTTCCGTCTCCGCCGAAAGTCAACTGATACGAACATGACCAACAAGCAGCGAAGAACGAGACCATCAATAGGCTACAATCTCGGCTACAACATCCACCAATCAGCGACGACCACATCAACGCTCGCCGCTTTAAAAGAGGCATGCATCACCGTGCAAAATAAGAGTTCTTTTCCGACCAAGCACCAGCAAACATCAGCAGCAGTAGAAGCAGAATTTGTAGAAAGAAAGAGGAGAGAATAAACAGTTGTTAGCGTAGCCGTCCCGATCAAGTTTATTCTGCATACATCCCTGGTTTGGAGCAGCGTCGAACCCTCCAGTTCTTTTCAGAGCCCTTACGAGTTGATTTCCGATCGACGCTTGCTTCCTCCACCACCCTGCCGATACAGTCCACTACCGAAAGGGAAAGTTCCCTCCCAGTCCGAACAGATTTAAAATACAGTAGAAGTAACCTATGATTTCGGTCCTATGTACATATTTTGGATTTCCTACTTAGCAAAAATTGGTTAAATTCAGGACCTCATAAAAATGCAAATACATATTCTATTAAATTTGGTTCCTAAATAACAATCAGATATGAGTAAGGCTTTCTTCAGGTGATTCATTGAAGCGTCCAACAATGACCGTCATGATGGCTGATATTCCCTAGCACTTCAAGATTTCTAGGACACAAATCTTGGACGGTTGTGACAACACTCATGAAATTGAAACTCCTTGTGTACTGAACTGCAACAAACGTGAAGTTCCAGTTTCTTTGTTATAAAATTTGTGAGAGCTGATATCTGAACTCTTGAAATTTTTATGTGGTAATGAGATTGATCAGAAATAAGGTTTCCTCAGCGATTCAACATCAAAATGCTAAACGGAGTGCACAATTTTGCACCAATGTTGTGCAACATTTCATAGTTGATCGGGATATAAATTAGCCATGAATCCCTCCAATAAATTCTCGGTGCATCTTTTATCTACCGATTGAACAAATAAAAAAAATACTAAGGCTGTGAACCATTTGCCGAGTTAAATTTAACTCGTGGTTAAAAGTGACATTTCGAAAGTTATTTTCTATGTTCGAAAATCCCTGTGCTGTCGAGCGACCGGTTTTCGAGAAGAACTCAGCCAAAGTTGTCAAAATTTAACTTCTTGTCTGTCAGAAGTAACCAAGCTCGGATAGCAGGGTCAATCGATAACTTTCCATCTGTCAAATTTTAACCAAAAGTTAAAATAATCCACCAAATGGTTCAGAGCCTAAGGCTGTGTTCCATTTGGAAAATTTTCACTTAGATTTGACACTTCGAAAATAAATTAAGATGTTCGAAAATCCCTGTTGTTGATCGGCCGATTTTCGAGAAAGCGTCTATTAAAATTGATTCCTTGTATGTCAGAAATAAGTCTGTTGGATAAGCAGGTTTATTTGAAAATTTTCCATCTGTCAAATTTAAGTAAACATTCACCAAATGGAACACAGCCTTAGGCTCTGAACCATTTGGTGGATTATTTTAACTTTTGGTTAAAATTTGACAGATGGAAACCCGCATAAACGCGAACCATAAATTGACCTTACCTAAAATGGTTAAAAATTGTTTATAATCCCTGCTAAACTTTAACTGAAATGGTTATGGAACTTTACATGAACGTTTAATGATAAAGTTTCAACCTTATGTATTATGGTTTTTTGGAACTGGACCTTACAAATAATGGGTTGTTAAGAACCATTACCATTCCAAATTCTTGTTTTCTCCATACATTTTCAGAAAGAGAACTATATAAGAACGTTTTTACTTATGATTTGAGAACATTAATGGTAATGGTTATGGTAGTCAGTAAAGTCCATTAATGGTTTTGTATTATCGCTCAACTTTACGTGGAATATATCGTGAATTGGTAATCAGTAAATTACAGGCAACCAATTCGCGATATATTCCACATAAAGTTGATCGATGTTACAAAACCATTCGTGGACCTTACTGACTACCATAACCATTACCATTAAAGTTCTCAAACCATAAGTTAAAAGGTTCTAATATAGTTCTCTTTCCGAAAATGTATGGAGAAAACAAGAATTTGGAACGATAATGGTTCTTAACAACCCATTATTTGTAAGGTCCAGTTCCAAAAGACCATAATACATAAGGTTGAAACTTTATCATTAAACGTTCATGTAAAGTTCCATAACCATTTCAGTTAAAGTTTAGCAGGGATTATAAACAATTTTTAACCATTTTAGGTAAGGTCAATTTAAGGTTCGCGTTTATGCGGGAAGTTATCGATTAACCCTGCTATCCGAGCGTGGTTACTTTTGACAGACAAGAAGTTAAATTTTGACAACCTTGCAGCCATGGTAAAAACACTGAACCCTTTTGCACGGGTGGCAGTTTTGCCTACAAACACACCACCAAGAGCATTGAGTTTTACGCTCCGTACCAGTGCTCTATAGAAAACACCAAACGAAGCGAACAAGGCACCGGTACCGGTGCCTTGTTTGCTGCTTTTGGTGTTTTCTATCGAGCACTGGTACGGAGCGTACAACTCAATGCTCTTGGTGGTGTGTAAAAAAGGCAGTACGCAGAGTAGTGTTGCGTTTAGACATGCCTGCAACCTTGGGTCGAAAACCGGTCGATCGACAGCACGGGGATTTTCGAGCCACAGTTGTCAAAATTTAACTTCTTGTCTGTCAGAAGTAACCACGCTCGGATAGCAGGGTTAATCGATAACTTTTCATCTGTCAAATTTTAACCAATAGTTAAAATAATCCACCAAATGGTTCAGAGCCTTAGGCTGTGAACCATTTGCCGAGTTAAATTTAACTCGTGGTTAAAAGTGACATTTCGAAAGTTATTCTGTATGTTCGAAAATCCCTGTGCTGTCTATCGACCGGTTTTCGAGAAGAACTCAGCCACGGTTGTCAAAATTTAACTTCTTGTCTGTCAGAAATAACCACGCTCGGATAGCAGGGTTAATCGATAACTTTCTATTTGTCAAATTTTAACCAAAAGTTAAAAAAAAATCCACCAAATGGTTCAGAGCCTTAATAACTTGAGCACAGAATCATTTCTTGTTGTGTTTGTTGTATTAGATGCGAGATAAAAACTTCTTTTATCGATATGTGTGCTGAAAATGCCTGGCCCGAGTGGATTCAATGAGAAAGTCGACGAAGAGAATTTTGTCAGTGTTACTTAGGACCTAATGCAAT